GTGTGTGTGTGTGTGTGTGTGTGTGTGTGTGTGTGTGTGTGTGTGTGTTTGTGTGTGCGTAAACGTGTTTGTGAGTGTGTGTACGTGTGTTTGTGTGTTGCTTTAGTGTATATGCGTGTGAGTGTTGGTGCAGGTGTGTGCGCATGCGTGTGTACGCGTGCGTTTGTTCGCGTGCGTGTGTTCGCGTGCGTGTGTCTACGTGGGTGCAAGTGTTGGTGCGTGTGTCTAAATTCGTGTCCGATATCCTACTTTAATAGATATTTGTTATATCTAACCAAATGTGCGGATGTCTGTCTGTGTTATTCTGTATGCGGATGTCCCTTCTTCGGCTCCACGGACCGTCAGCGTGTGAGCATGTAAATGAAAATCTTCAACTGGATTGAGGTTTCAATTTTAGATATCTAATGACTACACATCGAAATTTCAGCCTTCCATATGAAACAAGGAGGTTATGTAAGTACGACATGAGAGGTTCGACAACTTTTGAGTTTTGACACTGAGGTTTTGTTTAATTTCTTTCTCCTTGTGTGAGTACATAGCCTTCAAAATTGTACCACGAGTATTTTCTTAGCCTTCTTGATAGGCAGTATCTTTGAACTGTTATTAGCCTTTTAGGACGGTATCTTCATAGCCTACTACTAAATACTACACTAAATAAAACTAAACATCTCGTGCTTTGAACGATTTTTCTGCCTCTTCTACCAAAGTCCAAAAGTTGTTGGGGACTTTGGGTGTGTAAAGATTTGTATATATTTTTTCCATAAAATCACAATACACTTAAAATACAGCAGCGGCAGGATAAGAGCTAAAATTTAAAATAAAATAAAAGTTTTATGTCACTTCATGATGATGGTGAGAGTACTTATCAACATACTACATATTGTGTACCATTTACCATTATTGTTGTATATTTATATACATACTATATACTCTATCGTATATTTTCAGTGTTATCTTTGCAATCATGTCAGGTCCACACGTCGTATTGAATCCAGCCCAGGCCATCGTATTTGATCGCCCAGGTGAAAACTTTGTGACAGTTGAGCTGAAGATCAAGAATATTGCCGACAAGTGCGTGCATTTCAAGGTTAAAACTACCGCCCCAAAACGGTACTGTGTGCGTCCCAACGGAGGCTTGGTCAATGCAGGCGAAACAACAACTGTACTGATTATTTTGCAGAAAGTCGCTCCTAATGTTGCGCTTACAAACCCAAAGAAAGACAAGTTCTTGGTACAGACGTGTATAGCCGCTGCATCTGAGGACCCAAAGTCTCTGTGGAACAACCTGCCCCAGGAGCAGTTGAGCGAGCACAAGCTCCGATGTGTATGGAATGTCGACGACAAGAACAAGGAGGAAGAAGAACCCATTGTAAATGGTAGTGGAATAGTCGATGCACAAGATAAACCTGTGTCAACCGGAACCCTAGCAGCAAGTACCAAAGGAAAGGAGATCTCTGCAGCAACGCCCAAGGTGGACGAGGAGGCACTCGCGGCTGCACAACACATACAAACGGTATGTACGTTAGCTGTTATAGCGTATATTTTTCTTTCGCATTATATGGTCTTGTTTTATATTCAATGTCATGTATATGAGAGGGTTGTGTTTTACCGGCATAATTCAGTCTGAGGAGTAGCATTGATACTTTCTTATTTACGTATACACACGCGTACAAACACGCACACGCACATGTGTACATATACAGCTATGAATAAAGGATATATACATATATATACTTATATATATAAACTTATATATATATATCTGTATATACATATATATATATATATATATATAT